CGCTACTCGGACTCGTCTATCTGGAAGCTAAACGAGTAGAAGAGGATAAAGATGGAAGTGTCGATGCCTCCTGTTAAATATGAAGCTCACCAGAGTGAAACGCACTGCCTTGGTAATTTGTGCAATTTTTTGTGCTGAGAGCCCTAAAAAGAAAAGGCGACGACATATTTGGACAAAGACATGGCTGAGTCAATGTGGCAACTACTGTCTGTCAATTTTACAGAAAGAACTCCATTTCACTCGCACCCCTGCCATGCTTCTGTGTTTTGTCTAAGAGGAAGAAGAAGAAGAATCCTTGTTTGCCCATGCGCACTGAGCGATTTGATAAAGCAGTACTGAAAAAGTAGGCTAGATAATTTTGATTAAATTCAGAGCTAATTGGGGGGATAATTGGCCTCTGGGTGACCTAAAAATAATCTTTAATATCTCTGAAACAGCAGTAGGACCTGTTATTTTGATTTTCTTTTGTTTTTCATTTTTACAAATGACCATTTAAAATGCACAAACCTGCACTAAAGAAGCAATAACCATTCAGTCTGTGCATCTGAAATGCAGAGCAGTGAACTACATGCGGGGCTCGTGAAAATCACCACGTTCACCGCTTGCTGTATGAACTCACCATTAGACCTCAGTGGTATCAGTAAAGTTTGTCACAGCAAGTTGGTGTCTTGTCTGACCATATTTGCCATTATTTGGTGTCTAATACCAATGTCATAATTGTGCTGCTCGCTTTTGAGGTGCTAATACAGGAATTAGAAGTATTTTTTTGGCTGTTAGATAAAATAAACAAAAATATTTACAGTTACAGTCAACAACCTTTATAATAAATTAACCTTAATGCATGTGCTCCCTTTCGTATATGCATGCTCGGTGTGAGGGATTGTTGTTGAGTCAAGACACAATGCAAAATAATGTCTACCTTCACAAGGAGCAGGTTCTGAAAAGTCAAGGACACGATGCAATTAGCTGGGCCTCTTTAGATAGAACATTTGTAACCAATCTATCATCTTCATTGAATTGTCTCAGTAAAGATTATTGAGATTACATTTGTAGTGAATTGGCGCTATATAGATAAGCTGAAATGAAATGAAATTGAATATTCTTTAATAGAACTACATGAATACTTAAAAAAAAAAACATATTCCCATGTTACTTAGTTTTTAAATATTCCTTTTTAAAATTTCATGTTGAAGTCATGGGAACCCAAACAGCTCCTTGTTGTTTGGGCCAGCAAAGCATATTTTATTGCATATTATTTATTAATATTATTTATCTATAGTGAACTGTGATGGGGACAATTTTTATTACAAAAAAACTGTTTAAAAATAAAGGTCATCGAAATTTGTAGCATCAGTACTACATTTAGAATCAATATCTAAGTCCTAATGAAAACCTGTGCGTTGCAGAGGTTTGGGGCAGAGGAGAGCATAAGAAAGACTCTGGACAATGAAGAGATTGTGTAAATATCCCTTCATTTCTGTCTTCTTTTCTTGTGATGTTATGAGAAAGGACTTAATACTGCAGTAGTTCATATGACATGAAACTGGATCTTTGCTCTCTGATAAATGGGGGTCTTTGTGTGTGTGTCTAAAAGTAAAACCATCATCTAAGTCATAGTCTGGCTGAAAACTAATCATAGTGCTTCATTGATAGGAACACTTTCCATATCAGAAAAAGACAGATTAATTACTTAAAGCAGCCTGATGGACACTTTGCTGATATATTATACAACTGAGTAGCCAACCTTTGCCTCCCACCTTAACAGCTTTGTGATCTGTAGCTTCTTGTTTTCAGAGCTCACTATCTCTGCAACAGGTTAGATGTATTGAGTAGCTTTCTTCTCTTAGGGGCTTGAAACCCCAAAAATTCATCATTCAGCTGACTAAAATGGAGTTCAAGAGGAGCAGCCCTATACACTGTTAATCAGTTTAATTGGAAATTAAGCTATAATGTCTAATGTTTGCTTAGCACATCATAGTATTTCTCTAATTCTAGTCAGGAGATATAAAGATAATTAAATAGGATCTAATTGTTAAATGTTCTTCTTCTTAACTGCATAATTAAGGATAGCTCTGGCAGTGTTATGTGATTATTTATATTGAGGGATGGGTTACTGCTAATAGGATAGGTTTGAATGCTCAAAGGGCTTGTGAAGTTTTTAAAATACTGAAGCCAGCGAGTGAGAAGATTGCTGGCTCATTAGAAGTCTGGGTTTTCAGATCAAATTTCCAGAGTGGATCTCTGGTCTAAATCCTTTTTGCTCATTATCAACCAAAGAAAGGTGTTCCTGTGGAAGATTTAAATGCATCACATGTTTGCATTTTGCACAAAATAACTACATGTCTCTGATTGTTCATTTTGAGCTTTATTAAATATATGTTTTATCGCAATGCATAGATGTTGACTTTGCATTACCCCCAGCATCGGTGTTATTATAAATGTACACACTCCTTGAAAATTTTTCAAAATTTTGTGAGACATTTTAACTTATTTAAATACATAATGTGCTTTTGTTGCATTGTAGATCAAAAAAGAGTAGAGCATGATTGTGGAAAAAGATGAAGTTTGTTTTTAAGAGTAAAAATCTGAAAATGTTGGCAAGAATTTTAAGCCCTTTTTATACCTTTTTGATACCTATAAATAAAATCTGTTTCAATGAGTTGCCATTAGAAATCATCTGAATAGAAAATAGCCACCTCTCTGTATTTAGACCAATTAAAGCTATTCTGTGAAGGCCTCAGAGGTTTGCCTATGAGCAACAGGAAACAAGCAACTTTATGAAGACCAAGGAGAACCCCACACACATCAGGAATATGGTTGTTAAAAAATGGATAAGAATTTACATCCAAAGCTTTGAGTGTCTCACTAAATATTTCTTTAATCCATCCTCTGATGATAACGGAAACCGTGAACCTACCACCAAATGCCTGTTCCACCTCAACTGACTGACTGGCAAATGTGAGGAATAATCAGAGAACCAGCGATGATCAAATCAACATGTATGGATATTCAGTTGAAGGCTTCTATCTGAACTTCAATAGGGTCACAGGTTGATTGGCACCACACCACAACACATTAATAAAGTAACTCATTCAAAACTAGGCCAAACCAAGTATTAAATGTATAGAAATATTGACATAGGCTACTTTTCAGAAGTCTAAATGTCCGCTATAATATATAACTGTTTATTTTGATTGATTATATGTAATGTTCTTTTTAAACGCTGCATATTGTATCTGTAAGCTGTAACCTGAAAATCGTGAAAAATTTTTGAAATGTTTTATTCCATTCTAAGCCATGAAAAGGCTTTTTTTGGGCTACTCTATAAAAGCCTGGAGGTCAACGCTACTCCAGACATTTTGGACAAAGAAAGCTTTTTGGATGGGAAGCGAAACGTCTTCAAACTTGGAAAACAAAGTCCAGTGGTTTGTTTTGACTTTTTTTGGAATAGCCTTTAACATTTTTAGCTTTCTGAAATTACTGATAAACAAAAATAATGAACTTTTTCTAGACGCTTTAAGCTGTTTTAGATATGCTCATACACTTACAGTACTCTGTGGTCTGAACGGTTATACTGAAAAAAGGCAAACCAGTAGAGCAATAAAAAAAACTGTTTTGAAAGAATATTTGACCCCCAATACTGTTATTATTAAGCAAGATCTTGGAGCAACACCGGGAACTGCACAGTCACTGCTAGAAAGAAACATACTGTATTTATTCACAGCTTTTAATCTGGTATTCAGACCAAAGGTCATGAATGTTGTTATAGAAGATATGAAAGTCTGCAGCGATCTGTATGCTCATGAATGAACCGTTTTGTTTCTTCTTGAAGCATGGCTCAACAACAGCTTACTTCATCCAAATAAGTAGCATGGTGCCAAAACCGTTTCATAGTGTGCATGCATACAATTAAGGTCTGCTGTTTTCTTGGGTTTTTATTTGGCAGTTGAGTGAAAGACTTGATAGTGCCAGCTACTTTATTGTTAAAATAGAAATTCAGTGTTACTGAAAACAATATATAACAAGGCCCTTATGAATATTTTTGCAAGGCACTGTAAATATCTGAGGTGCAACTGTCACTGTTTTGCAGAAACAACATGAGCACATACCCAGTCACAACATGGGAACGTATCTGGAAATGTTCAGAGATGTTCTTAGTCACAGAACCCAACTGGTGCCATTTACTGTGGCTGTAAAATATGACCATATTTGATTCGTTTCTGGAAAACCTGGAGTGTTAGAACACCCAAGATGTTTTCTTTGTACCCTTTTCAGTTGTTTTCGTTGGAGTAATCTATGGTTGGTGTTGTAATGTACAGCGGATGGCGTTAGCTGCAAAACTATCTATTTGAATGTTTGTGATTAGCAGTACTCGCCAACAGTGGCCACTTAGTCTATTTATATAAATTTACACACATAAATTACTATGAATTACTTACAGTAAAAATATAAAACTTTCACAAATAAAGGTAAAAATAATACAAGCGTTTTTTTTTTAAATAAAGAGCTTTAAGCAACTCCTTTGTATTTCTGTTTGTGGAGGAAGGCAGCTGCGATGCAGGTAGCTCATCAATAACACGGCTGGCAGTTTGATTTCTGGCCTGTCCAATTACTGCAGTCTCCTTAAGGCAAGATGATGTGTGTGTGTGTATGTGTGGTTGTGTGTTTGTGTATTGTTTTGTGTGTGTGCTTGAGACATATAGTGAGAAGTAGATGTGGTAAGAGCACCACAAAGGCTTTTCTTAAAATGAAACAGAGCAGAACCATTTAACTATTGAGGGTATTAACAGTAAAATAATAAATTATTATTTTTCTTTAAAATTGGGTCTATAGAATTTTTTTGTATAACAAATACTGATAATCAAATCGAATTTAGTAGGCTTGATCAATGCAAATAGTCTAATAAATTTGTGCTGCCAGTTAGGAGTGATGCATCCCTGATATATCAGTGCCTCTTGTGCTACATCTAATCCCATCTCTGCTTCTTTTCCTTCCTACAGCACTATGCTAAGATCTCGGGGAGCCTTACCACCATGCTGGAACTGGGCTCATGTTCTGTCAGCTCTCAGTCTCTGACAGATGACCACGATGCTTTGGGGCTACCTCCAGCTGCAGGAGGGCCGGAGAGTCCAGCACCTGGTTTTGCTCAGATGTGTGGCAGCAGCAGTCCCAGGCACCATGTCTTGTACCCATCCCCAACGGACTGTGAAAACTGGCAGAAACATCGGGGAGGGCTGGCTGGAGGTTCAAACCTTTACTCTGAGCCCCACTCGCTTCTGGAACCTCAGAGTCTGTCGACCAGCTATGACACCCTGTACCTCCCACAGATGTCTGGGCAGGGTCAGACTCTCCATCCGAATCGTCTTGGCCTTTCCCTGGATGTGACTTCAACATTTGATGCTGGAGTAGGGATGCTTGGGATGGATGGAGATTTGGCAGTCAGTCCTAACGTGATTAAGAGACGGCGGGGAGGCCTCATTGAACAGAGAGACATTGTTAAAGCACACCAGGCCCATAAGATACATAGCACACCACAGGCTCGACGTAAAGAATGGGAGTAAGTATGACATTTGTAACAGTACAATGCTATAGCTGTCTTACTTTATTACTTTACACATAACAAAATCATAAAGCTTTAAAGAAACCTTTAAAAGCAGTTCATCATTTAGTACCCTTGTCCAAATACCAACCTATGAACCTTCAATGGTATAAATTCAAAAACCCTCCCATTATGTGAGTACCATACTGAGTTTTTCATTCCTGTGTAGAAGTGGCCTGTTCAATACCACAAAAACTCAATGAAAAATATAATTGGGAGCAACATTAAAGTGCACTTCAACGGGATAATCAGTTCTTAGTTCCATTGAACCTTTATTTGAGTCCTCAGGGTTTGTTTAGCAAGTCCAAGCCCACAAGGGCACTGTATTATATTCGCTTTATGAAACATCTTTCTTTATTTTTATTTCCAAACTTGAAACTCAAAAGTACAAATGAAAAAAAGCAAAAGTGTGCCAGGAATCTTAATGTGAAACTTGCCAGGAATCTTAATGTATCCACTGCCTTAAGTAAGAAAAAAAGATCTGCCTCTGGAACCATTTAGTAATTTTATTTTCAGCCAAACCAGGCTTCCACTTTTCTGTTCTTTTTTATTTTTTGATATGTCAAAAATTTTCACTTAAGCATTGCAAGGATAATCAACTTGAATGGACAAAATGAATATTGCAATGTAATTTGACCTCATTATTGAACCCATTCCTTGGGGAGCAATGCTTAGTCAGAGAGCAATCTGGACCTATGGATCTTGTTCAGGGATCCAGAGTGGAAGGCTATGGGGTTTGAACCTTGTATTTACTGCCTTCTAAGAATGAAACCTCCAAGCACTAAGCTTTTATTCCCCATGTGGTAAATGCTTTAAGTGGCTCCCACTGGCAGCAGTCTGAACTATCTTCTGTCTACAGCACACATCCTACATACCTTGATACTGCCAAGCACTTTCTCAAAACTGCGATTGTGTTCTCAAGTTTGCGCCCCTTTCCCTCAAAAACAATAATGCTCCGACTGCTCTCTTAATGTTCTTAGTGACAAACACTTTAAATTTAGTTCTTATAGATCACAGGACATGGTTCTAAAATGAGTTTGTCATTCAATGCATCTGCACATCTCTCCTCTTATATTGCTTTATGTTGTTCTTTTACCATCCTCAGCCAGAATCTACAAGTTTTTGTGATAACAACTATTATTTTCTAGTGTTTGTTATGGGGTTAACACTCGAATCTGGCATCAAACAAATGTCATAGAATCCATCTTTTCTTCTCAACACTATGAACTTCACATTCATATGGTGTTTATATATTTGCAAATAACTGTTTTAAACAGATGAAAATGGCACCTTCAGCTATCTGAAAATAGTGAGACAGTAAAACAATCAGATGAAACAGACTTGTAAAGGTCCACAATTCTGGAAATCTTTTCTCACTTTTTTCTTCATGGTGTAACACAATTCATTGGTGTGTTTCAGATGTTTCCTTGAAATGCATCCCCAGATATTCCTTGGTTAAACTCAAGTGTTGTTAATAAACCTATGAGCACTAACAAAAATGAAATTCATATTAAATTCATAGTACGATAGAGTTTTAGTGGATGTAGATCTCCAGTTACCATGATTTTAGCTACTGTGGAACTTTAATGAGTATTTCTATGTGTGTCACATGTTCTTTTCATGTGCTGAATATTACATAGCCTGTGTGTTCGTTTACTGGCTTCCTGTCCTGTAGTGTGGTGGAGATTTCGAGCTGATTATTGCAGTGACACCCCCCTACATCTTTTCCTGCTGAAGCCGGAGCTTCACCTCTAGCGATGCTGGCACCCTCTGTGCCCCCCTTCATACCTTCTTCACCACAGGTACAGGATGCTGCATCTAATCATAAGCTATGCCTAAAGACATAGAGGTTTTAGGAGGCTAATTGCAGAGAGTGAGACATGAGAAGAGAGTGGAGATGGCGCGTGTTGAATGTAGGGGAGGTGATGAGGACACAGAGGGAATGAGAGCTTTCATTTGCATTTGATATTTAGGTTCATGTGACAACAGTTTGCTAGTGGGTGATTAGTGGATCAAGAGGCCTATAGAGATGCTTGACCATGGACTAGATATCTATTCTCCACCCTGCCCAAAATAATTATTGTAAAACGTCATGACAGATGTAGACCAAAGCTGCTGAAAGGAGATTGACCACCGTGTGAATCAGAAGGCATCACAACCGTGCACATCCGCCTCTCACTACCATTTAACGCCAGACTTCAACTACCTGGCAGGTGGGAGGAAAACCCACATTTGCCCTCAAGCCAACTGTTGCACCTGTTTTGGGTTTTCAAATGAAATTAACTTGATTGCAAGGCAATCTGAGAAACTGTGTCATTTAGAAGAAAGCTCTAAAAATATATTTTTATTATGTGGAATAAGTAGGCTACAGCTTTTTAGAAATTTAACGTTTGTACACTCAGTGACCTATTACCAAAACTGACTTCTTGACCTCACTGCTCTGCGTGGCAGATGTGTCATAATCATGTTAAAAGCTGACATTGATTAAGAATTTTGTCAATAATAGGGTTCTAAGAATAATTCACAATGCCATAATTTGAATTTCCTGTGGATATATTCACAGAAGGCAGTCTTTGTCAAGTCTTCAATGTTCCTGTTTTTTTTTAGTGCCATCGTACGGTCAGACTAATAAAGTTGTGTTATTAAATGTACTCAGTGTTTTCTGGTACCCAAGGGGATTTTTGCTCAATCTGGCCTTTCAATGACCAGCTCGTAAGCACCCACATGGGACAATTTATTGCTGTTGTGTGCAAATGTAACACCAAGTTGAAATTTGGTTTGGGATATTCTGCTATCCAGGGAGTTTTTGTTTCCCTTTAGTGCCCCTGTAAGTAATTCATGCTAAGGAAAAACTCTTAAGATTTATGCGCACCTGCTCTTTTTGACCTTTGTTTGCTCAGAGTGTTTGATGCTTCTTTAAAAAAATAAGCTCCTTTGGGAGGATGAAATTTAGCCTTAGCTAAAGGAAAAGAAGCGTCTAAGCTTTCAGTTTTGGTGCTTCATCAACAAAAAATGCAGAGATAAGGATGCTCTCTACAAACATTAATAGATGCATGTGTGTGCATGTTTGTGGTATTGGAGATCGGTATTGTCATGTGAGAATCTAAATAACGACATCCTCTCTGAAGCATTTTATCAAATAGCTGTGTTTAGAGTCGACATTATTGCGCCTCTAATTACTGTAATCTAACTGAATAAATCTGGCTATTTCACTATAGGAAGAAAAGATGTTGGGCTCACAACAAACAAGAACAACAGAGAACCTAATGAACTCCCTTTTTGTGTGCACAAAATTTTGGATATTGTTTGACATTTAAAACAATATATTTTCAGATTGCATATTTAGATTTAGATTACATATTGCTTTTCAACCATTGTTTAAAAAAAATCTATTTAAAAAAATGTAGTTTGTTTATGTTTTTTATCAGTGTTGAAGTGTTGTTAAAAAGCAGAGTTGGAGTTTTATTAGCAGTTATATTTATTATGATATATACATACATACATACATACATACAACATACATACATATATATATATATGGAGAGAGTGAGAGAACTTAAGTAGCTCTGAAAATGGACCACAAACATGTTAAAAATTTGTATAACAAACAAATGTTGTCAAACTTGTTGTTATCTCTTGTTTGATTAATGGAGTGCCCAAAATGGTCACAGAAATTATTTGCATCTGGAAAAAATAATTATGCATAGCAATTCTATGGAAATGAAAAAAAAAGTAAAGTCAGACATTGGTTTTCAACAATAATATAACAGGAATTTAAGCAAAAGAAACATGAAACAGGCCTGGACAAAACTGTGAGTATCTATGGAAAAGACTGAAAATAAAATTTTGGAATTACAGTCTTTTTTTTACTTTTGGAATTGCAGTGTTTCTACTTAGGGAAATTATCTTCATAAATATAATTTGCATAAGATTGTCAATGGTAACAGGTCTACTGTGCTGTTTGGTAACTTGGTGTGTACCACACTCTCTCATGTTTTGGTTTCAGGTTCCTAACCCACTTGCAGAACACTCATCAGACAGGGAAAAGGTTCAAAGGTTTATTTAGAGTTTGTACAATAAAACAGATCAGGGGGTTATCAGATCCTGCACAGGTCACGACTGGGTTCACCGCAGAGGGGGACAGAGGAGTTAGCAGATGTCCAGGTAATTTGCAGGATGTGGAGGTGCAGGTCTGTACCTGTTCTGGAGTTTGAGCTGAGCGGCAGAGGGGGGGAACCAGGAGGGACCAGAGGCTGTCGGCAGGCTGAGGGCTTGGTGGAGGCAGAGCTTGGTTTGAGTGTTTTCAGATCACAGGTTTGAGTTTCCCTTCCAGATTCTTCAGAGAGCAGGAAGGCAGGTCCTTGACAGGTTTGATTCTCCAGGGTTCTTCAGAGATCAGACAGACAGATTTCCAACAGAGAAACTCTTCAGGGGTTTCTGGTTTCAGGCAGGTTAACCTGGGAAGCAGAAAGGACAAAACAGATCAGGTTCAAGTTTTCAGGGAGTCAGAGATTCAGACAGGCAGGTTGGCTCAGGCTTGCTAACCATAACTGGCAAACACTGGCACTGGAGTGATGTCCTCTGCCTCCTTATATACTGGTCTCCTGATGAGCAAATGAGCAACAGGTGGTGGCAATCAGCTCCGGCTCCAGGAGATCCAGTGTGCCCTCTGGTGGAGAAAGTGGACAGACCTCCAGATCCCAACACACTCAACATGAACTAGACAACTCTCTGAGAAGCTTAATATTCCTGTAACTGCAGTTGCACATATGCTGAAATTTAAGACTGTAGCCTGCGCTCAGACAAATTGGTGACCTGTTTAGGGTGTACCCCGCCTCTTGCCCATAGACTGGCAGGGATAGGGAGTGGACCCACTGCAACCCTGACAGAATAAGAGGGAGAAGACCCATGGATGGATGGGTGGATGGATGATGCAAGGGTGTAACTTTGTGATAAAA